AAAAAAAACAAACAAAAAAAACAGGCATTGTTATAGTCTTGGCGGCGTTTGCCGTCTTCAAACTTGTACCTGGATCATAACTTTTTCAGTTCTTGGTGTATTGTCTTCAAACTTGGCAACAACAACCCTTGGGTCAAGACCTTTTAGTAAACTACACTAACCTTGACCTTCATCCATAAATGACTTTGACCTTCAAGGTCAAAAGTCCAAAGTTTGATTGTTCTTGCCATTATTAGGTGTAACTTTGATATTGTTGAATGGATTGTCTTCAAACTTGAACATAATAATCTTCAAGGAAAGCCATTTAAAATAATCAGACAGGCCTTGGCCTTCACTCATAAATGACCTTGACTTTGAAGGTCAAATTATTGAAATTTTCATTTTTTGGCTATTATCGGCTGCAACTTTGTTATTTTTGAATGGATTGTCTTCAATCTTGAACCTTATAATCTACAAGGATAGCCCTTTAAAAAACCAGACAGACCTTGACCGTCATTCATAAATGACTTTGACTCTGAAGGTCAAATTATTATAAATTTTCATTTTTTTATTTGTTTTGGTCATCAGACCAAACAAATAATGACAGCGAAATTTCAGACCCTTATGCTGTTATTTGCAAATGCCGAAACTAGTCGGCTTTTTTGAAGCGGTTACTTCCCTTTGTACTTGTATGAAAAATTCAGGGGAGATCACTGCGTAAAGACTGTCAAATGACAGGCGCATTAATTTTCAAGCAAAATTGTTCCCGAATGGTCGAAGATTTTTAATATTGTTTTGTAGATATACATGCTTTTAGTAGGCTCCATGATTATTTACATCTGTTTTAAACAACAGGTTTAGCGTCGAAATAATAAGAGTTACAAACCCTTATTTAGAATAATATGGTTTTCTTCAGGCCGTTAACATATAACCCCACCGTGGCCGAGGGGTTTGCTCACTCGCTCAGGAATCGAGAGGTCTGGAGTTCAAGTCCCAGTTAAGGCATCTCATTTTTTTAAAAATTGTTTAAGTCAAGTTAACATTGAAATGAATAGCAGTGTTGCAATTAATCGTATAGCCAATTTACTACAGGTAAAACACTAGAAAGCATTGGTGGCACTATACAAAAACAAATTTGTTTATAATCTCACAACCTTCACCTTTCTGACATTCTGAGACCAAAACAAATTAAGCGCCTTCTGTACTTTGATTTTGGCTGTTACTGGCTGTAACTTTGCTATTATTGAATTGATTGACTTCATATTATAACAGAACATTTTGAGGACAAGACCTTCATGTTAATCAAACTCAAATAAACCTTGGCTCTTTTATGACCTTGACCTTGAAGGTTAAATTATTGAATTATACAATAATATATATACACAAAAATGAAAACAAGTGCCGTAAAAAAGTCACATATAAATAAAACAAAAAAGACAGTCCATGAGTTAACTTATTCAATTATTTTTCAACCGGTTTCTCTTATGATTATCAGGGCAAATAAGAGAAACCGGTTGGCAAATAATTAGATAAGTTAACTGATGGACTGTCTTTTTTGTAAAAATAAAAACAGGTGCCGGGAAAAAGTGACATATCAATAAATATATATACGTTAAAAATATCAGTATTTTGATACGTCAAAATTTTATCAATAATAAAATATAGCCCCCTTAATTATATTCGCTAAATTTTGTTTGTAAGTTTTCTTCACCAAGGGACGAGATGGGAGGTGACAGGAGAGATAAACTTATTACAGCTTTAAACTTAATAAACACAATAAAATATGTCATAACGAATCTGTCTTTTTTTTTAAGTTTAAAGCCTTCTAAAGAATATTTCTTTCAACGGGAATGGCTCATACTTGGGGGTATGTTAACTATGTTTGCAGGTTATTTGTACGCCTACGGGATTATAGCCTGTGGTTGTTGCCTATTTAGTTAAAATAGATTTGAATAACTTAAAGCGCCACTTTTATCAATCATGTGCTTGATGACACATGTTGAAAAGTAATGAAAATACTTTCTTTCTTTATCCAAACGAAAACAACTTGTAAAATGAAGATTTTTATTCACTTTATGAATGTGTCCTACATGTCAAAAACAAGATAAAACTAAAATATTACCTCGAAAGTGTCCATATTTGTTGTGTTTACAATCTGTTATGTGAAAATACCATCTTTCTACACCATCACCAATTTTGACTAGAGGGGATTTTAGGTTTACCCTCCGTCCGTCTGTCTGTCTGTCGGTCGGTCTGTTCGTCTGTCTACAAAACTGGATCCCGCGATAACGCAAAAAGTACTGGAACTATTTTTATGGAACTTGATATATGGATTAATGGCAGTATCGAAATTATGCACGTCTTTTTCTTTTATTCCTAGGCTGAAAATTCTGGTTGCTATAGCAATAAATAGACTGAAAATATGGCAAATTTAACACATAAACTTGATCCAGTGATAACGCAAAAGGTACTGAAAGTATTTCTAGAAACTTATAATATGGGTAGATGACTGTCTGGAGATTATGTCTTTTTTTGTTGAAAATTCTGGATGCAATGGCAACAAATAGGCTGAATTCCAAGAGTTGATCCAGTTTGTACACCTTTTTTCTATAAGTTCTTTATTTCTTAAGGTATTTACTTCAAAATTTTAATATAAGTTTCGGTTCATCAACCACATCATATGTGACAAGGTTTACAACTCTAGTGCAAACATTATCAGAATTAGCTCCCTTGAACTTAGATTTGTTTATGAAAAAAAATGTTTTTTTTTTTTTTAATTACTTCTTTATTTCTTAATGTATCTCTTCAAACTTCAAATATATGTTTGTTATTATATATTATCACTCAACAATTGTGAGAAGGTTCAATACTCCAACAAGATTATTTCCAGAATTATGCTCCCCTTGAATTTACTTCTTTTCGAGAAATTGGTATTTTTATTCCAACTTCTTATAGGATTTACTTCAAACTCCAACGTCATAATAATATGACAAGGTTTATAACTGTAAAATCAATATTTCCAGAATTATCTCCTTAAACTTTGATTTTTCTTATTCATTCTTTAACTTTCTCATTTCTTCATGGATTGACTTCAAATTCAATATAAACATTCATTATCAACACATACAATACATTATATATATAAATTTTTTTAATTTTTATCTTTGCTACGATATTTGTAAATGCTATTTGAAAATTGTCATTTTTTACTATTCTTTTTTGTGAATGTAAATGTTATCTTTAAACTTAAAACAATTGGCGTCGGTGTCGGCGTCTGTGTCCGGATTTCAGATTAAAGTTTTTGTGCAGTCAAATATTTTTCATAATAACTTTTTCATTTCTAAAGGTATCAACTTCATTCTTCAAATATATTTTCCTTATCATTAACCACATCTAATGTGACAATGTTCATAAATCTAGTACCACTATTTTCAGATTCATCTCCCCTTGAACTTAGAATTTTCCTTAAAAAAATATTATTTTTTACTGTAACTTCTTTAGTTCTTTTGGAATCAACTTCATACTTCAAATATATGTTCCTTATGATCAACCACATCTGATGTGATAAGGCCCATACCTTTACCGCAATATTTTCAGATTGATCTCCCCTTGAACTTAGAATTTATCTTAAAAAATATTATTTTTTACTGTTAGTTTTTGTTATTTCTTAAGGGATCAAGTTCATACTTCAAATACATTTCCCTTATGATCAACCACATCTTATGTGACAAAGTTCATAGCTCTAGCTCCAATATTTTCAGATTGATCTTGACTTAAACTTAGAATTTTACTTAAAAAATATATTTTACTGTGACTTCTTTATTTCTTAAGGGATTAACTTAATACTTCAGGTAGAGGCTGCAGACAAGTAGACCCGCTTTCTTGTTACATCTTTATTTTATGTGCTGAAATTCTCTCTCTTAAGATATTATTAAGAAACTGTAAAAAAATAAAAGGTATAAAGATAAATAATTTAGAACATAAATTATCTCAATTTGCGGGTCAAGCAATTCCTTAAATCGGGCACTTGATGTGTTATCGAAATTTGCTCATATATCTGGACTAAATGTAAACTTTGATAAAACAAAAGTAATTTGGATAGGAAAAATTAAATACTTATCAAATAGTATAAAACCGCAATGGAAATTATCATGGAACCAACATAATTTCAATATGCTGGACATAATTTTTTATGCAAATTTGAAACAAATGATACATATAAACTATGAAGATAAATTAATTAAGATTCAAAATTTAATAAATCATTGGAAAAGGAGAATTCTCACTCCAATAGTAAAAATCACAGTTATCAAAACGCTTTTAATTTCAATTTTAAACCATCTTTTTATAGCCCTACCCTCACCACCTCAGATACCATCCATGATAAATAAACTTAATAATATGTTTTATGATTTTATATGGCAAGGAAATTTTAAAATAAAAAATACTGTTATGGTTAACGACTATTCAGAGGGAGGTTTAAAAATGTTAAACTTGCATGTTTTTATAATGGCTTTAAAGATAAGCTGGTTCAAAAGAATGATTAGCGATGCCTGTTGGAAAAACATTATTATAAATGAATTTGATATACAAACATTATTTCACTGTGGAAAACATTACATAGATAAAATTGCAAAAAGCATTTCAAACGTTTTTTGGAAGGAAACTTTTAATGCTTTTTCTACATATATAGATAAGTATCCTATAAATAACGAATCCTTCGCAGAACTACCATTGTTTTATAACAATAAATTACTAATTGGCAATAAAAGTATATTTCTTAATTCATGGTTTAAAGCCGGTGTATATTATATCGGAGATATGTTTGATTCTTAGGGTGCTTTTCTTTCAATAGAATATTTTAATGATATATTCAGGCTTAATGCAAATTTTTTAATCTTTCATGGAATTAAAAAAATGATAAATGCAATGATGACAAAATTTAATTTTAGTATGAATGACGTAAAAAAAACTTGTGAACCAAAATTGCCTCCTTATCTAAAAAAACATAATTATTAACAATGAAGGATCGATCAAAACAGACTTACAATTTATTGAATACTAATAACACACAGCCAACAAGTAAAGCAACCTGGATGAAAAAGCTTCATTTTGAGGAAAGTAAATGGAAAGTTTACAAAATGCCATTTAAAATAAAAAAAGATTCTAGGATACAGTGGTTTCAAATTAGGATTCTTCATAGAATAATTGGCACTAACTATTATTTACATAAAATTAAATATAATGATAATTCTCTTTGTACCTTTTGTAAAAATGAAAACGAAACTATCGAACATTTGTATTGGCAATGTAGTTTTGTAAAGGACATCATTGATATCTATTTCAAAACAAAAAAGAACATTTTCCGTCATTAACTGCAGACGAAATGATTTTTGGCTTAACATATGAAAGTCCTTTATCAAAAACTAAAAATCTAGTTTTAATTTACTTTAAGATATATATTTATCAATGTAGAATGCAAAAGAGTATTCCCACAGTTGTTGCAGCTAAAAAATATATAACATATTGTTACAACGTTGAAAAAGAGACTGCAATGATAAATAACAATGTTGAAACCTTTAATTCCGCGTGGAATTCTTATCTAATTTTCCTTTATGCAGATTAACACAATATTTTGTTTTTTTTCTTCTTTTTATAATTATTATTACTATTATTAGTATTATTATTACTATCAGTACATGTATTATTATTCTCTACATATATGCAGACTTAAACTTTAAGGCTGTATTGACCTATCCAAAAAATACACATCAAACTATTATATTTTTACCCCGCTAAAATGGCTTTAGAGATAAGTAAATGACTGAAAAGATGAATAGATATGATCAATAACAATATCCATAGTGCTGACTGCAGTGAGGGAGTGCAGATGAATGAGTGTAGTATGTAAATAAATTATTTTTCTTTTATGATATGTTCTGTTTTCTACTTTGAATCCATTTATAGTTGTATGTTTATATACCCATGCTGTGAATACAATGTTTATATATTTATTTGATCAATAAAAAAAAACAAAACAAAAAAACTTAATACTTCAAATATATGTTCCTTATCATGAACCACATCTTATGTGACAAGGTTCATTACTTTTGTACCAATATTGCAAGAATTATCTCCCTGATTTAGATTTATTTACTTGAAAAATGTAAATTTTAACTATAACTTCTTTAGTTTTAAAGGTATCTACCTCAAACTTCAAATACATTTTCCTTATCATCAACCAGATCTTAATTGACAAGGTTCATAACTCTTGATCAATATTTTCAGAGTTATCTCCATTTGAACGTAAAAATTTCTTTAAGAAATATTATTACTTCTTTACTGTTTAAGGTCTCTACTTCAAACTTTAAAATTATCTTATCATTACACACATGTTGTGTGACAAGGTTCATAACTCTAGTGTGACAATTTCCAGAATTATTCCCCTTGAACTTGGAATTTATGTAAACAACAATAACTTCTTGTTATAAGAAGACATATATTTATATCACAATTGATTTTTCTGTCAAAGTTGTGTCTTCCTTAATGCATCCAGTATTTAATTAGTCGAGCTTCGCTGTCTCCTGTGACAGCTCTTGTTCCTAAAAAAATGTAAATACTATTAGTAAAAGTTTTTAAAAAGTTTTGTCTGATGGTACAGGGCTTAGATATTTGGTATATATTATCATCGATAGGTCCTCTACCACAGTTTGTCAAAGTTTGACCCTATTGTTAAAATTGGTCCTTAAACAAATAACAGTTAGTCTTCAGTTGAGCACTTTGGGACCAATGGCCCCCTTGTAATTGTAAAATGGTGACCATTTCTAGCAATCAATTTTAGCTGAGCTTGTTTGGGTCATCATTCTTCATTCTTCATGTTATGATATACATAATATTACAATTTGTTGGAAAGAAATTTTTTTCCACTTCAATCTTTCATTTGTGTATATTCTTTCAGAATGTCAAATAACAAGTGTTAACTCAAAAGTTGCGTGTGTTGGTGATAATGTGGATCTTGATTGGGTTTATGAAAATACTGCAGATATCTTGAGTGTCACCTGGACATACATTGACAGTCAAACTTCAGCACAGACAACAATAATGCAGTTTGTAGGAGGATCAGCTACAGTGTCTGGCAATTATAATGTTTTGCACAAAACAAATGGTGGCATAACATTAACTAAAGTAACAAAAGCCAATAGTGGGAGCTACAAAATATCTGTAATTTATGCAACTGCACCTACAGAAGATGACACTGTTGCTGTTACTGTTAATGGTAAGACTAACATTCATAAACCTGATCAGTTTATGAGATAGTTACCAAGGGGAGGCTTTAAGGATTTGTTTTCTTTTGTTTTAAAATATCTCAATTATCATATCTCTGCACATCTAAGTTGTAAGGGGGAATAGTAACTCATCACTACTAAACAGTGGCTCGTTCACATTTTGGTGATATGTTTAAACGAGAACCCTTGATACTTCCGTTGTTACGAGCCATTGACTAAAACAAAGTTAAAACAGGTAAACACAGTTTCTAAACATATTTGTGTTTAAGAAGACATGCTTTTTCAAAAAATCAAAGAAAGCTATGCCATGTATCTAGAACAATTTTTTAATCATTTTGAATGCATATCGCTATGAAATATCCCAAAATGATGTTGCTAGAACTTTTAGCAAATGCAGTTTAAACCAAAAGTGGTCTGGGTGGTCTCAATTGTGGATATTCTTATCATTGCCTACGTACTTTATGACCATGATCTATTTTAGTCATTTTGTAAGAACAAACAATATGCATCTTAACCTGTAAATGCAATTATATATAAGTAAATTTAATGTGTGAGAGGAAGACATATTTCTGAAGACATTTAATACTTAATTTTCTTTGGTCGCAATATTAATATTATATGATTTATGTAATTCACCTTTCAAATAAGAAATTCTTTACAAAATAAATGTGCTGAAAGCAGCATTAAACCATTCTAAATTTTTATTTTTTACGTATTTCATACAATAACCCAAAAATAGTTAAATCAAGTGTCGTGCAAGAATTCGAGCAGATAATAACACATTTAAGATCTAAGTAGGTGTGGTGGTCTCAAAAGTGGGGCCAAATTAGGAATAAAACAAAGAATTGGGACTGAATCTGGTAGTCTTAATTTTCAACTTGTGTCGCACATAACTAAAAAAATATTTGTTCTAGAGTCTTGAAACCTTACAGGAATGTTGTGAGCATATGTAGTTGTGCACCTGGGTATTTTTGTGTGGATATTTTAGTATTTTTAGAGTTATTGCCCTTGACTTAGTAAAAATTTCCAATTTTCAACTTGTGTTGCACGTAACTAAAAAAGTATTTGACCTACAGTAATAAACCTTACAAGAATGTTGCTCAGCATGTGTAGTTGTGCACCTGGGTATTTTTGTGTGGATATTCTTAGAACTTTTAGAGTTATTGCCCTTGACTTAGTAAAAAATTTCTAATTTTCGACTTGTGTGGCACATAACTAAAAAAGTAAAATTTGACCTAGAGTCATGAAACCTTACAGGAATGTTGCTCATCATGTGAACTAGTGCACCATGGTATTTTGGTGTGGATATTTTTAGTATTTTTAGTTATTGCCCTATGTAACTAAAAAACATATTTGATCTAGATTCATGAAGCCTTACAGGAATGTTTCTCAGCATGTGTATTTGTGCACCTGGGTATTTTCATACGGCTTTTTCTAGTATTTTTAGAATTATTTCCCCTGACTTAGTAAAAATTCTCAATTTTCAACTTGTGTTGCACGTAACTCAAAAAGTATTTAAGCTGTAGGCCTGAAAGTTTACAAAAATGTTGGTCAGCATGTGTACTTATGCACCTTGGGATTTATTAACTTAATACAAGATTTTTAGGTATCAACTTAGGCACATGTAGCAAAAAAAATGACATGGAGACATAAGATTGACAAATTGGTGGAGTGTGGGGGCACCCGTGTCCTATGGACACCTTTCTAGTTTGTACATGAAACATTATCCTCACCTTCCATTTGCCTCAACACAAATGATTTTAACAGACCCTACTTAAAAATAAAATATTAACATTTATTCCAATGCATAGCGCTTGCGCCATCTGCAATGTGGAAGAGTGTGCAAATGTGACGAAGCCGACACAACATTCAATAATTGTCAATATTGTGGAATTATAACGATTTTATATTCATTGATAGACTTAGTTAAGAGAACCTCAAAATTGAATGAGATAGGTTCTTTATAAGCTGCTTTATATCAGGTGCCATTTCAATAACTTCTTGATCTCAAGTAAAAAAAATTATGTTCTTTTAAATGTTTTCCTATATGTAGAATGTTAAATTTGCAAAAGTTCTGTCTGTGATTTAAACATATGTTTATCTTTTTATTTTATCAAGTTACAATACTACACATCAAACACAAAATGTATACAAAATCATGATAAAGTGGATTGTACTAGAAGCTCAAACCTTATTGTAATTCTCTCCACCTCTAGCTAGACATCGGTACAGATTTTGGCGATACAGATGATTTGATAAATTGTTACATCCAAGATAAAATATGTTAACATTATAATAAGAAAATAAGAAAAATTAGAACAAAACAAACAAAAAAAATCGAGAAGTGTTAAGATGTTAAATTAGGAAAGAAATCCGAGCAAAGAAGAAAATATGTGAACATTTAAAGATATCAAAAAAGTGTGAAGCTAAAGAATTGAACAAACTGTAGAATGGCACATTCATAAAGATAATGGACCTTTCCAGATCAGTCAAAAAATATAGACTTCAATAGAAGTGTGAACAGCTTTGAATATACAATTATTCTATTCTCTCCAACTGATAAAGACGTGTTTCCTGAAATATTGGTTTTAAGAGAAACAATAGAATAAGTATTGATAATATTTATCAATGAAGGTCTGATATTATTATACTGCCTACAATGCAAGAAGAAGTGAGAGGCTGTTTCGCGAAATCCACAGATACAAAGAGGTGAGGGAATGTTATATTTGTAAAATAGGTCATCTGCAAGTAAGCTACAATGTGTATGAAAACGGGTGTGAATAATTTGAACTATATTAACTATGATAATAATAATACGAACTAATAAAAACTATAGTACAGTTTTTGTTTGTTTAAACAATTTTTTCTTAAAAGTTGAAACTGTTGCTGCATTTCTAAGAGATAATGGAAGTTCATTAAAGGCTCTAGTCTTGTTGCAGGGAGAAATGAGTCATAGTACAGGGATGTTCTAGCTCTTGGTGTTCTAAGATCTTCATGGTTACCGAGGAGATAATTTTAGTTATCAGTTATCAACTAATGGCGGTCATAAATCTGAAAGATAAGATGATGTTAGGTTGGACTTCATCTTGTAGAAAAAATGTAGCTTATGTTTCTGATGTCTGGATTCTAAAGTGTCCCAACCAACTACATCTAGAAGCTTTTGCAAAGAGACTAGTTTAGTTGCATCTGTAGCAATATGGGCAGCCACATACTGGACATTTTCAAGTGCACTTTTTTGCTCAAGTGTACAATTGTCAAGTGTCTGTTTAGAGTGAATTTTAACCTTCACATTATATTTATGCGTTAAGCCTTTCCAAGTACATAATCAATATGAGTATTCCATTTCAAATTATGTGCAAAAATAAGACCGAAATGTTTGTGATACCTCCTGAATTTCATCATTGGTCCTAAATGCGCGAGGATGGTGTATGGGGTTTAGTTTAAGAGAAATGATTAAAGATTCTGTTTTCTTAGGGTTGATTTTCACTAGACACTTTGAGGCCTATCTTTATATATTGTTTGTAAGTCCATGTTCAAAGTTTCGGCTGCACTTACTGGATCTTCGACTTTAATATAAAGACTGGTATCATCAGCGAACAGGCATATAATGTTATCGACTTTAATGTCGGCAACAATATCATTAATAATCAAAGCACTGAAGTTGCTGAATTTGTTTGGGTCTCAGAATGTCAGCAATGTGAATGTTGTGAGATTATAAACCAATTTGTTTGTAAAATGTCACCAAATTCTTTTTCCAGTGTTATAACTATAGTAAATTGGCTATGCAACACTGATATTCATTTCAATGTTTATTTTGCTTAATCAATTTAAAAAAAAACCGAAAGAAAAAGAAAAAAAAACAACAACAAAAAACAACAACAACAAAACATAAGTTGCCTGACAAAGGATTTGATTTCCGGACCTCTCGCTTCTAAAGCTAGCATGTAAACCCCTCGACCACGGGAATTATAAGATAACAGCCTAAAGAATAACATATTATTTTTAATTAGAGTTTGTAACCCTTATTAATTTCGATATATTTTGTCCACGGTAAACATGTTGTTTCACACTGAAGTAAATAAACATGGAGCTGGATATAAGCATGTTTATTTATAATAATTACAATAAATTAGAAATCTTCGACCAATCGGAAACTATTTTTTCGTTACAAAAAATAATGCGCCTGTCATTTGACAATCTTTACGCAATGATCTCCCTTTATTTTCAATGTTAATGTACATATGCAGGGAAGTAACGGCTTCGAGGAGTTTGGACTATTTTCGGCATTTGCAAATAAGAACATAAGGGTCTGAAATTTTGCTACCATTATTTGTTTGGTCTGACAACCAAATCAAATAACAATAAGAAAAAGAACGGGACCGATGCTTTGATAAAATTCCACTTTGATGTTCACCTGGAACAACAACCCTTTGTTGTCTGTTTGACAGATAAGAGAATAACCAACCTATAAGATTTCATTTACAACCGAATCTTCAATTTATATATGAGACCTTTATAGACCTTATCAAAAGCTTTACTGATGTCACAAAATTCTGATCTGACCTCTTTTCCAGAGTCAATGGCCTAAGTAAAGAAATTATGAAAGTAAGCTGATTCAGGATTGAATTTGAATCTCCGGGGAGGAAACCTTACCGAAAAAGAATTAAAAGGTTATGTGATAAAAGATGTATTCAAAAACAATTCTTTCAAAGACCTTCCATGTTGCACTTAAAAGAGATTCAAGACGGCAATTCCAAGGTAAAGATCAATCTCTGGATTTAAAAATTGGAGGACATTGGCTTCTTTCCACGCTAGATGTACGAAGAGACTGATCGAATAGGTCTGAAAAAGGAATATACAGTTCATCTTGACTCATAACAGAGTTATTTCCCTTTGTTACTTTTCCTTGTCCGAAGCATAACTTGAAATCTACCCCGCTATATAATGGCCGGGGCATATAGTGTTACCCTGTTTCGTCATTCCGTCATTCTGTCATTCCGTCATTATCAGTTTCTTTTCATTATCTTAGTAACGGTTACACACATTCAACTCAAATTTGATATATATATATATATATATATATATATATATATGCCATGGTTCGATGACTTTTGGCAGTTATGCCCCTTTTACTTTGAAAATAATATGAAATTTTTAGTTTCCGTTTATTATCTCCACAACGGTACAATACATTTTACTCAAACATGACATATGGATATGTCATGAAAAAATACAGTTCAAGTTCAAATTTGGTCATGGTTCAATGATATTGGCAGAGTTATGTCCCTTTGTCTTTGATAATAATATGAAATTTTTCCGTTCATTGTCTCCTTTTAGGGTATTACACAATCAACTCAAATTTGACATATGGATACGTCAAAAATGTGCAGGTCAAGTTCGAATTTTGTCATGGTTCGATGATTTTTGGCAGATTTATGCCCCTATGACTTTGGAAATTATATGAAATTTTCAGTTTCCGTTTATTATCTCCTCAATAGTTGTACATATTCAACTCAAATTTGACATATGGACATGTCAAAGGAATGCGCAAGTCAAATTTGAATTTGGTCATGGTTCATTGATTTTTGGCAGAGTTATGTCCCTTTCACTTTGAAAATAATAAGACATTTTCAGTTTCCGTTCATTCTCTCCTCTAGGGCATTACACATTCAACTCAAATTTTACATATGGATACGTCAAAGAAATGCGCAGGTCAGGTTTGAATTTTGTCATGGTTAATGATTTTTGGCAGAGTTATGCCCCTTAAACTTTGAAAAAAAGGAAATTTTCAGTTCCCATTTATTATCTCCCCAACAGTTGTGCATAATTATTCAACTCAAATTAAAGATATGGATATGTCATAAGAATGCATTGGTCAATTTTGAATTTGGTCATGGTTTGATGATAGCTGACAGAGTTATCTCTCTTGAACTTTGAAAAATGGAAATTTTAAGTTTCCGTTCATTATCTCCCCAATGGTTGTACACATTCAACTCAAATGAGACATATAGATACATCTCAAGTGGCTACTGTTTTGATCAAATATCCTGGAAATTGGTCTGAAAGTTTGTTTTCATGATATCTAGGTCAAGTTTGAATATGGGTCACCTGAGGTTAAAAGTTGGGTCACACTGCTCAAATATGGATAATCCTTGTATGCACTCTAGTGGTCTTTGTCAGAATGCTTGTCTATTTAATTGTTTGGATGAGTTCGATGGGTCAGGTGAGCAATCTAGGGCCATGTTGACCCTATTGTTATCATTATTTTTAAGACCCTATTGGACATAAGTTTATGACTTTAATGGACTATCCTGCATTTATATATCTTATTGTTTTTAGTGGTAACATAGTAGTGTTCAGTGATAATCATGTTAAAGAAAAATATGTTCTTGTATGAGATCTATTGAAATTAGTTGAAATTTGATATATTTTTTTTGTTTGTTTAGTTTTGGGTTTAACGTCACATCGACACAGTATAGGTCATATCGCGACGTTTCAGCTTTACTGGTGGAGAAAAATTTTGATATATAGAGGATATTGAATGAGTGTAGTTAAATACTAAATTTATTGAACAAATTGAATAAAATCATATTATGCGAGCCTCTGGCGAGCATTATATTGTTTTTTTCAGCGAGTTCAATAAATTTAGTATTGAATCTACACAAATATAATATTCTATTTATCACATAATATAAAAAAGAACAATAAACTGTAAAAATGAGTAATTATTCAACGACGCGCCTATAGTGTAACGCTTACATTAGCGCACTTTAACGCTATGTTTCTATATAGCGCAAATGACGTCACGTCAAAGTGTTATTACACTAGTTTAATACCGTTTTTATTAAATGGTTTATAACACTCCTGCGCCGCGGTTTATGTGATAAGTTGTATTATGTACTACCAATCTATCATATCATTAAATGGATCATTGAATGGGCTGTCAAATATTGGAACAAATATTCCATAATCATTTTGTATTCAAAAACTTTTTTTGTTATAAGTTATTTGATATGTTGTATTGTGTACTTTTATTCCAACTGATGTATATATGCAAAGAAATCTGTCTTCCAATCTATCATTGAATTGGTTGTCATATATTGGAACATATATTCAATAATCATATTGTCTTTAGGTTTTAATGAATATTCTAATTTTTTTAGATGTAATCATTCTCTTGGGTTCAGAGCAATGAAATATCAATGTAAAAAACACAAACATGTATACTTTACAAAATTTTGAAATTAGAAAATTAATATCGAAAATTTAAATTGCAAATATTTAATTGTGACTGATGATAGATGTGAATATTTCAACAACTTCATTTTCTGTTTCAGATTGCAGATCCGAGTGTAAGTGTAAAGGTCAAAAGGCGGTGATTGCTTCTGTAGTAATTGGCATTGTAGGTGCAATAATTCTTCCCATTGTCGTTGGTGGAACTGTAAAAGGTAATTAAGTCTCTTTTCTGCTTATTTAATAGTAAGCATTGTGAGAAAACCTAAACATACCAACAAAAATTATTGTTTATTTGTAAGATCTTTTTGTCAAAATTCATAAAATATCAAACCTCTTTCAAAAATGTATATTAGAAAGATTAAACCCCACTGCAGCATTAATTAGCTATTTAGAACAAAACCTTTTGGAAATGGTTTTCTTTACTTTATTTTGCGTATTAAACTGCACTATTTCAAGAAGTGTCACTTAAAGAGGCAGTTCCAGTGGTCTACAAGAAGGACTGTCGGTGGTGCAACTAACATTTTTAGGATCGATGAATATCCATCGTCCGTCCACACTTGTTCGTTAACATTCTAGCGGTCACATTTTTGCCTCGATCATCATCAAACTTTGTCAGGATGCTTATCTTATCTAGTTAATAGCTCGGATGAGTTTGAACATGGGTCATCTCAGATGAAAAACTAGGTCACAGGAGCTAAAAATATAAAAACCTTGTCAACACTCTAGCGGTCACATTTTTAGCACAATTACCATCAAACTTGGTCAGGATGCTTATCTAGTTGATAGCTTGGATGAGTTCTAACATGGATTATCTCAGATAAAGAACTAGGTCACCGGAGCTAAAAACATAAAAATAGATAAATACAGAATCACTAAAGAAAGCCCAACACGGCAAAATTGAAAATGTTGCAGGCTCGGTTTGATTGAGCCTGTTCATGGACGGTACTGGAAAGTGCAAGTTACCGTCCACGCCCCCTAGCACCGGCTTAAGCAGAATTCAACATTTAAACATGAAATAGTAAAATTTTGAATTTAGAAACATCCGCAGATGTGTTCATACGGCGGTTATCATGGAACCTTCAATGTGACACTTCCGTGCCATTCAATGAAAAGCGGCGTAAGGTCCCCAAGTAATAAAAAGCGTGTGCCCTAAACGAGAAAACAATGGGCGGAACTAAAAAAAAAAGGGATCAGAGGTTATGAAGCCTGCGTATCACAGATAAGACGTCAAAAGACAAATTTAAAAAGCAGCCAACATATCCTATGGGTGATTCAACATTATTCAAGTAGGAATATTGGAACCACCCAACTAGAAAATGCCGAAAAGACGAAACTAAAAATGCCACAAGCACAACAATAATGTCGTGCTAAACGATCTTCAAGGATCAAAAATATAACATCATTGATTAACCTTGTTAACACTGTAGCGGTCACATTTGTGACTCAATCATCATCAAACTTGGTCAGGATGCTTATCAAATAAATAGCTTGAATGAATTCGAACATGGATTATTTCGGATGAAAAACTAGGTCACCGGAACTAATAGAAGCAATACCTTTTCAACACTGTAGCGGTCATATTTTTGCCTCAATCATCATCAAACTTTGTTAGGATGCTAGTCTAGGTGATAGCTCGAATAAGTTCTAACATGGGTCATCTCGGATAAAAAACTAGCTCAACGGAGCTAAAAATAGGAATACATTGTTAACACTCTAGCGGTCACATTTTTTTGCCACTTGGTCAAGATACTTGTCTAGGTGATAGCTCGGATGAGTTTGTACATTGGTCAACTCGGATGAAAAACTAGGTCACGGGAGCTAAAAATATAAAAACCTTGTTAACACTCTAGCGGTCACATTTTTGACTCAATCATCATAAACTTTGTCAGGATGGTCGTCTAGGTGATAGCTCGAATAAGTTTTAGCATGGGTCATCTCGGATGAAAAACTACGTCACCGGAGCTAAAAGTAGCAATACCTTGTTAACACTGTAGCGGTCACATTTTTGCCTCAATCATCATCAAAACTGGTAAGGATGCTTGTCTAGTGTGGCTCGGATGAGTTTGCACATGGGTCATCTCGGATGAAAAACTAGGTCACCAGAGCTAAAAATAGAAAAACCTTGTTAATACTCTAGTGGTCACATTTGTGACAAAATCATCATCAAACTTTGTCAGGACGCTTGTCTAGGTGATAGCTCAAATGAGTTCGAACATGGGTCATCTCGGATAAAAAAACTAGGTCACAGGAGCTAAAAATAGAAATTGAAAAACACTCTAGTTGCTACTGTTTTGATCCAAATATCCTTTTAATTAGACTGAAAGTTTGTTTTGATGATTTCTAGGTCAAGGACCAATATTGGTTACCTGGGGTCAAAAACTAGGTCACACTGCCCAAATATGACAAAACCTTGTTAACAATCTAGTGGTTACATTTTTGACTCAATTATCATCATACTTGATTATGATGCTTGTCTAAGTCATTGCTAGGTCTGAAAGTTTGTTTTGATGATTTCTAGGTCAAGAACCAATATTGGTTACCTGGGGTCAAAAACAAGGTCACACTGCCCAAATATGACAAAACCTTGTTTTTACTCACCTGTCATGGGTCAGGTGAGCGATCTAGGACCATCATGGCCCTCTTGTTTGTAACAAAGTACCCATTCGGGAAGCATCACACGTCTTCGACGGCACACGTCTTCGAAGGCCTATTGTATTTGAAATGTTTCACTGTGAACCAGCTTCTCTGAAACTATTGCTCACCAGAGCACAAAGTGCTCAAAGTCAGCTAGTGTGATCATCATGTATGCCTATACATCTCCTTCATTTGCTAAGAGTTATGAATTTGCAAGAATTAGCCTTGGATGGTCCTCGATGAAAAGTTCAAGTAATCATCAATATTTATGTCTTCCAAAATTTTTAAAGACATATTGTTTTTGGCTTTGTAGTCCGTCTGTCTATCAATCCGTCCAGTTGTCTATCCACATTACCTAATAGGGATAAATATAGGGAGCCATCTAACTGTAAAAAGAACAATAGAGTCATTCCGTAATAATAGTGTAAGGGGCCATTGGCCATCCATTAAACAAAGGAATAAAACAAAAATAAATTGGCCCGGAGGTCCGTCATTATTGAGCTTGTCTGACTTTCACAGGTCAAAACTTTACAAGAGTGATAAGTACCATCCTTAGTTGTGCACATGGCCTGCACTTTTTGATTTGCTGCACAAAATAGCTACCAGGGCTAGAAATAGAATAATCTTTTTTGGCTTTTACATGTCATATATGGATGGCAACGAGTTATTGGTAAAGCGAGTACTCGATAAAACATCCAAATATTGGTTAACAAAAATGATATTCAGTTACTCGGAAAAATGTATAATTTCTATTTTTTGCGATTAAGAAATATTATTTGATATTTGATTTCTCTGAAAAAAAAAATTTCTATATTTTTGTGATTAAGAAAAATATTATTGCATTCAATAAGTTCTGAAATTTGGAGATGTACATGTATCATCATAAATACCTGTTATATGCTATCGAAACATCCTTGCAGAGGTGCAAAAATGATATCATGAATTTGAGGCGATCAATCGTTTGACACGCCCAAAGATTTGAACACCTGTATCACTTATGTAATTCGGCCTCTTATGATATTAAATTACCTTAAAATTGTGCATTAATTAAAACGAAGTGTAGCGGGGTGTATAAAGAAGTCGGCTTGTTGGTCCATCCACATCATGGTTTCCGGACGATAACTAGAGTTTGGAATGAGGTATTGCAATCATATGGTATAGAGCAACCTTATGCGGAGACCCCGGTTGGTATTGCATTTGGACCCCCTGGGGTCAAGGGCACCGTGACTAAAAATAGAAAATTGGTGTTCGGACGATAACACATACACACGAGTTATTTCATTATATTTCTTTAATGAATTTATTTTTACTTGTACGTGCAGATTTAGCATTGATAAAAAGTTTGCACTGAAAGTTCAGATCCATACTTAAATATCTTTTGAATTTGTGCTTCATGTAAAACTTCCTTTGGAGGGTAGAAGTTGGTATCTCTGTTACAAATTCTTGTTATAAGATAATTTGTTGTAACTACACAAACATTGTTCGAAATATGATATAATTGTATAGTACTTTATAAAGGTTTAAAAAAATATTTTCTGAACTATGAAAGCTGATATGATATGATTGTAAAATTAAACATTTCAGAGTTTTTTGGTAGGAAGCTTGCACTGGTTGTTGATTCCATAGGTATTGTCTTCGGTGTAGCAGGCTCTGTATTAGGCATAGTTGTGCAAGCTATAGGTAAGATCAAATGCATAATTATAATATACAAGAACTGTAGACCTTCTTTGTGCCAAACTTTGATTAGTCAATTTTATTTATGCTTCCATGTTAAGTGAAAGTCTTATTCTATTTGCTCTACATATTCTTTATTAAAACCTGTATAATATGAGTCAAATTTAATGTGTTGAATTTTCTGATGTTTAAATTTTAAATATGTCCATGAGGAATAATTATAAATATTTTACCATAAATAAGTTTTACCTTGGATCTGAATATGTTTGTAACACCTTTTCTATAGTACTGCGATAATGATTGCTGTTTAACAAACCTTAACATGTATGACAGGTGTTAGTTAAACAGCTGTTTAGTTAAAAAGCCGTTTGTTCTAACAGCCTTTGTAAGCATTCCTATGTGTGTGAATATTCTTTGCCATTATTATAGCCTAGACAAACAAAGTTTTAGGGGGTATACTGGAGTCAGCTGGTGGTCAGTTGGTATGTAAATTGCAAATTTCTTGTTGGGGACATAACTAAAAATGTACAAGAGATCTTAAAATGGTGAAGGTAGATATGAATGAGTAGAAAATGTGGTGCATTGGAACCATAACTCTCCCTTCCCCAATTTTGAAGTTATTTCCCTTGGTTCATTTTTACACTTTGAACTTTGTCCAGGACATAACTTGAGAACTATTATAGGTATCAACTGAAAAATGTGTAGGTAGAGAGATTTTAATGAGTAGGAGTGCAGTACAAAAGAACTGTATCCCTCTTTTCCCATGTTTTGACGAAATTACCCTTTGTTCATTTTTATGCCCATCTAGTTTTGCTACTGTCACAAAGTCTTCATTTTTCACTTATATATTAGTCATATGTAATAGATGACCCATATTGCTTTCTGGGTCCCTAACTCAAATGTCAAGGTCACACTAACATTTTGAAGTTTGAGTTTATCACAATTAGTGTTATAGGTTCATACAATCGTTTCTGGACTGTAACTTTGTCATGCATTAAAGGATTTAAAAATAACTTAGCATAAATGTCAACCACATCAAGACAACATGTTGAGTCCAAGACTCCTGTCCCTACCTTCAAGGTCAAGGTCACACTTCTAGTTTGAAGGCACTTATTCTTACATTCATTCACATTCATTACCGGCCTGGGGGCGTCCGTGGCCGAGTTAAGGTCGTTGACTTCAAACCACTTGCCCCTCACCTCTGTCGGTTCGAATCCTGACAGGGACTTTTGATTCTTTCATGTGAGGAAGCTATCCAGCTAGCTTACGGAACGTCGGTGGTTCTACTCAGGTACCCGTTCGTGCCTGAGGTCTTCCTCCACCAATAAAGCTGGATCGTCGCGATATGACCTGTACTCTGTCGATGTGATGTAAAACCCAAAACAAACAAACAAACAAATATCCGGACTGTAACTTTGTCATGCATGGAAGGATTTTGAAACTACTTGGCAAAAAGGTATACTACATCAAGGCGATGTGTCGTGGCTAAGGCTTTGTTCGTCTGTGCGTCTTCATACAATAATTATGTCCAGACTGTAACTTTGTCCTGCATTGAGAGATTTTGGGATATATTGGCACAAATGTTTATCACATGACAATGTTGTGTCGCGTCAAAGAACCATGTCCTTTTCCAAAGGTTAAGGTCACACTTATATTTTGAAGGTTCACGCTATCACAAATAAGGATTATATGTACACACATTCGTGTCCAGAATGTAACTTTGTCATGCATTGAAGAATTTTAAAATAGCTTGGCACGTGCTGTGTGTAAGACTCAAGGGCAGGGGCACACTAATAGTTTAAAGGTTATGATGCTCATAAGAACAGTTTGAAGGTACACATTAGTTTCAAAATTGTTAAATTGTCATGCATAATTAAATATTTCAAAATAACTTGGCATTAATTCTACCACATTTATATGATGTGTTGCATCCAAACCCTTGCACCAAAGTGTTAAGTTTGCTATTAATAGCACTTCACTTCACTAGAACAATATTAAGCAATTAGTTACTTTGCTTCTCTTTTCTTTTCATAATACCTGCATGCTTATGGAACTTTTTGGGGGCATTTTTCACTTGAGTGACAGCCCTTGTTTATTAGCTCACATGTCACAAAGTGACATGGTGAGCTGTTGTGATCGCTTTTCGTCCGACGTCCCGCTGTCTGTCGTCCGGTCAATATATTTTAATTCAAACGACATCCTTTCAAAAACCGCTTAGCCAATTTCATCCAAACTTCACAGGAATGTTCCTTTAGTAGTCAACTTTAAAATTGATCAAAGAATTTAATTCCAAGCAGAACTCTCAACCATAGAAAAAACTCAAAATAGAAAACCATAAGAGCTAGAGCTTAAATATTTGGCATGAAGAGTCATTTATTCAGTTTTTTTTTCAAATTTGTTCAAATAAATGCCCTGGGGTCAAAATTGTAGGCATTGCCATTTTTTCTGTCACGATACATATCACGATCCTTGCATTTCCAAACGATGCGATTCACGATATGCATTGAATACTTTGATAAAATGCGATGCATATTGCGATACGTATGTTTCGATGCAATATGTATCACAATACTGACTTTCAGACTTTATCTATATAAAAATACTTGGTCAATTGTTCACAGAATATTTATGAATGTAATATAAAACTATTACAATAACAAAACAATAAACTTTTCAACTTGTTATTACAACCTATTTTCAAGTTTTGATCTTTTATCAAATTACATTACTTTTTACTTAAGGATTTTTACTTTTTACTTAAGGATTAAAGGTATTTTTCATTATACCATAACTCTTAGTGTATTGCGATACTTTCCCGCTATAACGATGCATTGGGTGGTGAAATATGCCTTGCATCCTGATATATTGGAATTTATAAATTCATTACGATGCGTACATTGAGGACAGGGCAGATCGCGATTGATCGATGAATCGTTACACCTCTACAAAATCGGTCCCGCCCGGGGGGTGGTCATTGATTTTCCTTATTTGTATAAAGTAAAAACTTAAAAAATCTTCTATGAAATAAATCCAAATAGCTAGAGCTAAGCTATTAAGCATTAAACATCTTTTAGTGGTTGTCTACCAAGTTTGTTCAATTAAAAGCCCTGGGGACAAAATTGGCCCTGCCCAGAGGGGGGGGGGGGGGGGTCATTCTCTATGTATGTATAGCAAAAACTTAAAAAATCTTCTTTTCAAAACCTTTAGAGCTAGAGCTAAGATATTTAGCATAAGTCATATTCTAAAGGGTGTCTTACATTTTTGTTCAAATAAGAGCTCTTGGCTTAAATTGGCCACGCCCCAGGGATCATTGATTTTCTTTATATGTATTTGGTAAAACTTTAAAAAAATCTTCTGTTAAAAAATCCAAAGAGCTAGAGTTTTGATATTAAGCATAAATTATCTTCTAGTGAGTGATTACCAAGTTTGTTCAAATAAAAGCCCTGTGGACAAAATTGGCCCCGCCCAGAGGGGGCGGTCATTATTTTCCCCTATTTTTGTTTAGTGAAAACTTAAAAAATCTTCTTAGAGCTAGAGCTTAGATATTTATCATGAAACATCTTGAAATAGGTGTCTACAAGTTTGTTCAAATAAAGCCCCTGAGTTAAAATTGGCCCTGCCCGGGGTCCTATATACAGGTGAGGGATTTCAGGGCCATCATGGCCTTCTTGTTTTACAAATTGATTGGTTATAACAAGTAGACCCTCTTGATTATATTGAGGTCTTTAGGTCAAACGTCAAGGTCATAGGAACCTAAGATCTGTCTGTCTGTCCGTCCGTACGTAGACCATATGGTTTGGACTGATCATCCTAAAAAAATATTTATCACTAAAGTCTTTATACATTCTAACTTGTCCTTGCAACCATGTGTATTATGCGACTTTTGTCTGATGCGACAACTTAATATTTTCCCCGATCATTGTCTCACTATATCTTTAATGTATTTGCTCAACCTGCAACAGCTAATTAGTCAGCTTATTGAGATTAATCTTTCATCAAGCAACCACTTTCACCTGTCAAGTGTTTGTGTTTTTGCAGAACGCCGCCTCATGATGTCATGTCTTCTGTCAATAACCATCAAACATATATATAAATGTGTAAAAAAACCTCTTTTTTCAAAACTGTTTTTTCAGGGTTCGTACAGTCTTTAAAAGTGCTTAAATTTGAGTCTCTGTCTTAAAAAGTGCATAAAAATGTAAAATAGTGCTTAAAAGTCCTTGAAATTACTGTGAAAAGTGCTTAAAAAGTGCTGAAAATATGCTTGAAATTGATTGAATGACATAGTGTCGATAAAAATCAATAGTTCACAAAATAAAAAAAAAGATCCAATTTAGTATCAAAATCAATGAATTGTTTAACTTTGCTCAAGGTAAGGCCACATTTAAAAAAAGTAAGTCTTTGTTTGCTGTCTCCTGACCCTACCTTTTTGAGTTGGGTAGGTAGGTAGATGGGTATTTTTATGTCCCCGCCTTTTCGAAGAAAAAAGGGGGATATAGAAATAGGCTCCGTCTGTCTGTCCGTACGAATCCATTGGTTCTTGTGGACGTAGAGAACAATGGGTAACAGTAAATTCTCTTTGACCCTATTCATTCCGTTTTTACTAGTGTGTCTTTTTAAGCCTTGTGTGACTAAAAATGGCCAAAATATCAAAGGAAAAGTCACCTAAATACCATTTAGTGAGTACGTCCGTCCGTCTGTCCGTCCGTCAGTCTGTCTGTCTCACTTTCGTGTCCGGTCCATAACTTTATCATTTATTAAAGGAATCTGAAAGAACTTGGCACAAATGTTTGTTATAATAAGACGATGTGTCATGCGCAACAATCAGACTCCTACCTCCAGGGTCAAGGTTGCACTTGCTCATTCAAGGTCAACATTGTCTATTTGAGGGTAAAGGTCGAGTCCGGTTCATATTTTTTTTTATCTTTCAAGGGATTTCGTAAAGACTTGCCACAATTGCTCACAATAATGATACAATGTGTCATGCGCAACATTTGGTCACCTACCTC